CAACATCTTGCGTTTGCCATGGGCCTTGTGAGCTTTTGACACCCTGATTTCGGCCTTTTTTGCCAGTCTTACCTCCCACCTATCATGGAACATGTTGTTCGACGATGTACAGGGGTCAAGGTCAGGGTCAAGGTCAACCTAGGTCATCTAAGATAATTGCGTTTTAGGCAAGCTGAATTTACTTTTTGTGAAGTTTTTTGACTGCATTTTTGGTAAAAGCTTCTCAGATCATGATTTCATGTAATATGGACCGAAAAACAATCGGTGCACACATCAGTATACATACAGACACACACAGACATACAAACACATATAATTGACCTTGACCTAACTTGACCTGAAATGACCTCAGCAGCAAAATTCTGGTCGGATAGTGTGACAAAGAGGTTCTAGCTGGCTTGGCACCAGAAAACAGCATCGTCATCGGTATTTGATAAGCAGCGCACTTGATATCCAACGGTGACCCAAAACAGCAACATTTTTTAGTTTGACCTGACCTGGAAGGTCAATGACTGACCTGAGAAGGTAAAACTGGGTATCATTGGATTCGTCTCTTCCCAAAGAATCTTTTTGGTCTTTACTGCTAAGCTCTATCTCCAACAGGAACGAAATGGCGCGGGGGGGGGGTGGCAACCACCCCCCCCCCCATGTGCGTTCTAGGATGGGAAAATGGCATGTGCGGGCGAGGGCTAATAATCCTCGCACCTACGCCGTCCGAACCACAGGCCTGATTACGGAGCGAGCGAAGCGAGCGTAGTCTTTCCTTAGATTAACGGAAATTTCTGAGTATGAGCGGCCGGGTCACGCTTTTGCGAGGCTTATATCTCAGCAACCACTTGACCGATTTACACGCGGTAATTTTTGTAGGGTAGCTTCATTCCTTCTACCAAGTATTGGACTATTCCCGATGCATGTGGGTGACCCCTTATGCACGTGCCACGTGCAAAACGAAGAGGTGTCACTTTTGTAATTGTTGCAATATCTCGGTAACTACTTGGCCGATTGCGCTGAAAGTTGGCATGTAGGTAGGCACCCACTAGGCACTGCATATACATGTGCCAGAGTTGGGGTGCTGCTGCACGTGCGCACGTGCAGGGGTCGTTTCCAGATCTCGGGAACGGCTGGACCGATTGCGCTCAAATTTGGTACACGGTTAGGGACCGGTTAGTAGGGTGCCGTGCACAAGTCAGTTGGGACCCATCTTGCACGTGCGCACGTGCAGGGTGCCGCTTCCAGATCTCGAGAACGGCTGGGCCGATTGTGCCCAAATTTGGCACATCGCTAGAGACCAGTTAGTAGGGTGCCGTGCACAAGTCAGTTGGAGGTACCCCCTCGCAATTTCGCACGTGCAAGGCCCACCCTCTCGCTCGCTCCGTTAGTCGCCCCAAAAGGCGTTATACTGGTTGTTAGGAATATTACGTAAGACTCCACACAGCTTATCATTTGAACAAGGATGTATTGGCCTGCTTCGGGTAAAACAGTTTTCAGTGCAATCTGTTGAGCGTTATTCCGCTGACACGCACCCACGGCCAGTAATCCAGTAGCGCGTCAGCGCCCATCCTCTGGCCGATTGACCCGTTTGGTGCAACTGATGCAACTGTATGCAACTGACAAGAGTTCGCCAACAGACGCCAAAACTGCGGTCAGCAATGCGGCGATACAACATCCACGAATGATCCGAGTTAAAGGGAGTGGTTCACTTTCCTGAAATTAGTTTTTTTGCAATGGATTTATTATTCTTAACTCAATATGATCAGAAAAGAAAAGAAAACCTTTTTATAAAAAGGATTGTTTTCTATATTTTGATAAAGAAAGGGCTACTTTTATCTTTAATAGAGGCCACGTAGGCCTACTATTTGCAACTGAAGGTAACGATGCATTGCTCAATCAAATTAAAGCTGCATAGACTCGCACTAAGCCGTAGACAAAAACAGTGCATTTGATGCAACCTATCTGCAAGGCGATTGGCTGAAAGTTAACCCTCGCCCGTATAACTAGAGGGGGGGTCGAACGGAACCCCCCTCGGTTTTTCGCGAATAACTCGCGTAAAAAACGGCCGATCGCGACGAAACTTACAGTATCCTCGCGTTAATCAATTTTACACCTACCCTGAAATTTTCATGACCCTGACCCCTAATGACCTTTGACCTGTGACCTACTTTTCGAGACCATGTTTGGCCGGAATCGCGATTCGGCGTATGTCGGCTCGCACTAGCAGCGCGTTTGTAGTCTTTTCGTGGTTTTAAGCGTTCAAACATGGGATATGATGCTGCTCCCATGCATGAGGGTGGGTGTCAAGGTCACCGGAAGGTCAAGTCAGGTCATTGACCTTTGATGACCTGGGTTCACTTTTTCGAGTTTTGCATGTTTCTAGGCCAGTTTTTGGAGCTGAATTCGAATTTAGCAACCATATAAACATTTACGAAGTAGTTTTGGTGCCTTCGTAACATGTTACGAAGCTATCAGAGGCGGTTGCCACCTACTACGAATACCCTTACTGGTTGACCTGACCTGACCTGACCCGACCTGGCCTAAATGCATGAAGACATCATCTGTGATAGAAATTAACATGATATTCGTGATCAGCACCCCGAAAAACCCCGTAGCAGCCACGCTTTACGACTTCCTAACAGGTCCCGATTTTCCCGACTTTTGGGTCATTGACCTGACCTGGAAGGTCACCCGATGACCTAGGACCTTAAAATTGGGTATCATTGGCATCCTCTCGTCACGGGCAACACGCTCGTTTTTTCCGCGAAGCTCTAGCTCGATCAGGGGCGAGGACCCCCCCCCCCCCCTATACGTTCGCGGCTGGAAAAACACCAATGCGGGCGAGGGTTAAGCCTCTGCGATAGGTGGCTGCATTCCTGGCATTCTTCTACAAGGGACACATTCCTCTATAAGGGACTCTTTGCCGAACGAGAATATGTTTGCTTAGGGTGGTCACTGGGGTGTAAAAGCTCCTGATTTGTGCTAGTCTCAGCTCAAGCTACAAAGCTGCTACTTCAGATCAAAACACCATGTTTAACGTGATAGGTACATATATTTCCTAGTGCTTTCTTCATCTTCCCATGAGAACAGGAACGCAGCCGTGATAACGCTCATAACAAAGACTTGAATTGTGATAAAGTAGTTGTTGTTAGACTTTTGGGACGCCGTGCAGTCACCTACTCGGGACCCAAGTCCAAACAGTTGGCGCGCGGCCGCCGGGAAGTGGCGCCGGCGCGCCGTGACCCTGACGGCACGGCTCGGCGGCGCGCGCGCTGGGCCGGCGCCACTTCCCGGCCGCATGACGTGGCGCAGGTGCTGCGTGTCGCGCGCCGCCGCCCGTTTGTTTTTGTTCCGTGCCTTTTTCATGTCGCCTGGAAGCAGTTTATTAGCATTTGGTGTAGTTTAAGGGCATAGTGTTGACGCGCTATGAAAACTAAGACGTTAAAGTTTAGATTGAGCAGCGAATTAGGTACCGACGTCCAATGTACATACTTGATGATATGGTATAGTCATTCTTAAAAAAAAAAACTTGAATACTTCTGGGGGATTTTTTATGCAGGGCAAAAAGTAAAGAGCAATTGCGGTACCAGAAAAAAACATCAACTGCCAGAAATTATATATTTTTTTCATAAGCACATTCTAACATTTCATCTGCACACATACCTAAACTTTAAGTTTGAGCTACGTTTAGGCTTTCAGAGCGCGCTCGAAGTGAGAACCGTTTTCATGCACGCAAGCCTGAGCTCTTCTTTTAATTTGTTACGTTGCTCGGGTGACAGAATCTTTTGATGACCTATCGACTGATAGTACATACCTACGATCGATTGGCACAGCGACCTATATTTGCAGCTTGTTTTCTGAATGCCAGGTCTTCTTAGCTTGGCTGATGCGTATACCTATATGTCATGTTTCTTTCGTGATGCTTCGCTGTTCCTCTTTTCTTGATGTGATAATGGCTTCGATATCCGCATCCTCTTGTGATAAGTGTGTTGGGAATATCTGCGCGATTTTAACATTTTCTTATACCAATTTTGGCGCTACGCAAACTTATTCGTCATTTTGAAATGTAACTCGTTTCTGATGTAAAAGGTATAGCAAAATATGCCGAAATATACAGAATAGCAATTTTTATATATTACCCAGTTGAAAGCCGTGAAAACATCATTTAATCATGTATAACGTCATGTATACACCCAGACAGCCACCAAAGCATAATCTATGTATCGGATTTACAAGGATTGTATGCAGTTACGATTTCATGTGTGTATGTAGAATGGAATATCATTTCCAGCGCTTTATAACAAGCTGCTAAGAAAAGGGAAAAATAAGGTCGCCTATGACCTCAGGTGATCCTTATGAAAGATCAGAGTCATGGATGTTGTATTAGCTCGCGAGCTTTCTACTCTTCGAAATCTGTGAAGGATTGCTTGGCACTAAGAGCACTACAAAGTTGCATCATTTCTGGACCGTGCAGAGGTTCATTTATGGCGTCACAGGCCAATGACGGGGTGGGACCTAAAAACGGTGTCAAACTATGGGATTCCTATCAAATATCAGGAATATTTTGTGCGGTTTTCATTGCCAGTAAATGTCTGATGGTTACTGTCGGGTGGAGAGGACGGGTAGGTGCTGTCGGGATGGATGGACAGATCGGTGCTGTCGGATGCAGAGGAGGGCACTCTCGCCGCACGTTGTGCAATTGGCTATTGGTGCCGGTCGTGCCACTGATGGTGGTGCCGGTCTTGTGTCGTTTCAATGGTTTCCCCTTCCGAATGACGTTTGCTCTTTTGTGTTTGATTCTCTCTGGTCACCCGCCCCCGGGTTGCTGGTTAGACGGCGTCCCTGTAAGTGTGTGTTTGTGTGTGTGTGTGTTTGTGGCTGGTGTGATGGTGGCCGTGTGTGACTGACCTTTGGCCGTCCGTCTGTGTTCGCCCCATGGACAGCGGTGGCATCCCCCGCGCCGGGCCCGCCGGCTGGCCGGTCTATTGACTTTGTCCGTCTCTCGGCAGTACCTGTTTCTGTACGAGGTTTTCGAGAGGATCCAGGACGAGCGGCTGGCGCCAGAGCAGCCCGGCCAGCCCAGCGAGCCGTGAGGGCGCCGAGCCGCGGCCCGCCACCGTCCCGGCAGCCAGGCGGCCCGCCGCAGCCAGCCGCCGCGTAGCCCACGATATATTGTACCTAATGTTCTATATACGGCCGTAGCCTGGCCGCGCCGCGCGGCCTCTCGGAACTGAGCGGCATTGTTAGTCCTTCAAGGTGCGTGCGGTTGCGGTGCACTGCGCGCGCGCGCGCGCTGTGGCCGGCCTGCACAGCCCCAGCCGGCCATTGTTACGGGATCGACGGCCGAACGGTCGGCTGCGATCGTGTGTGGTGCGATGTTTGACATCTGTGTACCTTATTTCGAACGTTGATCGACTCTATTATTGACCAGTGAACTTGTTTAATTTGCCAATGATGTATTCCGGATGTTTTTGGTGGTCGTTTTTCATGTCTTTCTGTTGCCGGCCGACTCCAGGGGGGCGCTGAGTATGTGACGTATGACGCAGGTGACGTATTGTGTGACGTGTGACGCAGGTGACGTGTGACGGTGACACTACTGCGGTGACACGGTCACCCTGGCCCGTCCCGGTCGGTGCCGGGGTTGAGTCTGCCGGGGGCCGGTTCTGCCGGGGCCGGGTCTGGTCTGCCGAGACTGTGGCGGAGGTCGGCGCCATTACATATCAGCCGAGCGGACCTGACCACAGACGGAAAGACGGAGAGACAGACAGACAGACAAACAGACAGACAGACAGACAGACAGACAGACAGACAGACAGGGGCAGGCCCAGCGGGGCAGTCGGGTGCTGTTCCCGATAGTTTGAGCCGCAGGTTCACAGGAGACGGACAACGAACACTGGCCGCCGCGCCGGGCCGCCCGCTGTGGGCGACGCCGGCCGTGCCGCCGGGGCCGCGCGCCGGCCGGATGGGTGTGGCGGCGCGCGGCTCGGCGCCCCACCACGGCACGCCGTATGCACGGCGTAAGGACGTCCCTGTGTGCGCGAGTGCGGGACTTGTATCCGATCGCGTTATGCATGCTTATACATAGAAAATATACGCACGATAGACGAGTATTGAGTATGTTTTTGCCTGAAAATGGTCGGCTGCAGGTGACAGAGTATCTACTTACTGTATGGTGCACAGGTCACACTGTACAGATGGCGGGGGAGGAGCTGGCGAGAGAGTACTGTATAGTTTACCACCTGATGTGGCGGTGCCGCGGTGGCCGGTCCCAGCCAGCTGAGCGCCGCTGAACCCAGCTGTACCTACCAGGCCCCGTGGCGATCGCCGTCCTTGTGCTGCCGCCGGCGACCAGCGGCGCCGGCAGCTTTGTCGTGCGTCTGCTTCTTGTTCCGGTATCAGTCGGAGTTCTATTAACGACCACGGTTCCAGAGACGGGCGTCCAGATAAGACGCGCATGGCCACCCCTATCGGAGCTGAATTGCTGGCCGCGCCCGATAAAGAGAGCCTCCTGGAAGTCGCTGGTCTGGGGCGATGAGAGTACCCGAGCTGACGCTGCCCAGGCCAGCAGCTGACCTGGCGCAATGCTTATGTAAGGTTTTCAACGTCATTCTTAAAACTTTCAAACACCGAATTACAAGTGAGCATGACACACTGAACCGAAAAATGGCACCCGTGACGCCTCAGTCCCCGAGGTCATCTCAGGTCACAAATGTTATCCAGCAATTTTTTCACTGATATTTTCTGATAGAGACATGCTAGAGCGATGAAAACGCCTTAGATGTGTTCGGCTCGACGATATAACGGATCGACTGATATGCAACATGACCTTTTCCGGTCAGGGCATGACCTCGACCTGAGGCCAAATTTTCAAGTTGACCTCGTGACCTTACAATTGGTCATAGAGCCCTTGGGCACACTGCATGTCACAGGTAGAGTACCTAAGTTTCCCGCCTCACGCGACTGTCGTCGGCCAGGCGATTGATCGCGACGAGCACGGCGCCCTCCGTCGAGTGGTGAGACCTGTAGCCGAACTGAGAGGGATGAAAAGGGCTGGTCTCGGACAGGTAGGAGGCTAGCTGTGTGCTCACTACCTTCTCCACTCTCCAGTATCCTGGACAGAACGCTTAGGAGTGAAATGGACCGTTTGTTGGATGGTAGGTACAGACGGGTCGCCTGCTATAGGAAGGGGGACAACACACGCCGTTTTCCAGCTATCTGGGAACACGTTGGTTGTTTGTGACAGGCAGGTTAACCCGCGCCCAGATGGGGTCTGCCGAGCAACGTGGTCTGATGGGGGGGGGGCATTTTGGCCCCCCCTCAGATCTCGAGAACCACGCAACATAGCGACAAGCGGTAAACGGTGTTGGATAGCCCCAAGGGGGAACTACCTTGTGACCCAATTTCATTGACCTCGGTCAAACCGATGACGTCACAGGTCAGGTCAAAGGTCGAATTTTCACCGTTTACAGGCATTTCAAGAAATGCGTTGTAAAATCGTGTAAAATGCATTTCATTGAAAATCATCGATGGGGAAATGTTCTTCAAACACATATTTTGCTATTTGAGGTCACTGATACCAGGTCAGGTCACAGAGGTCAGGTCACGGGGGGGGGGGTCACAATATGAAAGTGTCGTGTGATACATGTTTTATGGTCCATTTTACATGACAAATGCGATTATGTGGGTCAGACAGACTTAAGGGCCAGCTTAGGTCACGTTTTGGTCAAGGTCAGGACAAGGTCAGGTCAAATTAGGTCAAATTTCAAAGTTGATATTTTTGCATAAAATGGGTATCTATTCGATGCAGCTCATCACGGGAAGTTCAATGGTGATCTCCGTTTTGCGCTACGAGCTCTAGAATTGCTAAAAATTGAGTTCAAAAATTTGACGCCATCAATTTTTAACAGTTTTTTTGCTATAACTTGGCCAAAAAAAGAGGTATCGATCTAACATTTGGTTTGTATATCGAAGAGCGCAGAGACTATCACATATATTCCGGTTCTTTCGAAATTCGAAATTTTTTTGGAATTTTTTGAGTTTTTCTAAAAAAATCATTTTTTTATTTTTGGGGGTCAAAATCCCAAAATTTCGAAAATCCGAGATAGCAGTTTTGTAGCGCTGTCTTTTCTCTACACAACCACATAAAAAACTTTAAAATTGCTTGTTAACTGTAGAATTGGTGAGCGTTTCAAGATGTCATGTTTTTTGCTCATTTTTACTCGAAGATGACCTCAGTTTGACCTCAATAACTCCTGACCTGAGGTGACCTGTGACTTGAAATTTTGTGTGAAGGTGTCAAATTGATGCCCGGTAAGGTACCCAAAATTTGGCGGCGCTGCGCGCCGCCGTTTTTTTCGCTATTTAAGAAAAACCACAGGGGGGCCAAAATGGCCCCCCATCAGGGCGCGGGTTAACCCTATTAGTGGCAGGAGGGGTTGTTTTTATCCACCTCTCAGGTTTTTCGGGAATATCTCCGAAACCGCTGAAGCTACGATGCTGAAATTTTCTGACTTTTCCTAAAACTAAATTGGGCACATTCCCTGAAAATTTCAAGTTCATAACTTAACCAGGGGCGGCTCCAGAGCACTGGGAATTGGGGGGGTCCTATTCGTGAAGCGAGTCATTTGGGCGAAGATCACGATGCTGCACCAGTTTTACGAACAGTGAATGAAAGGTATCATGTGATAACATATAGGGTAGACCGGGGCAAGTCGCCCCGCCGAGGTAAAACGCCTCACCGATGTTTCTCGGAACTGGCAAGGTTCTGGGGAAACATCCTCTCTTCTATAAAACGTGCCCTATATGATCATTATATGAGCAAACTGAAAAAGAAATTGTGATAACTCTTTAGGGAGATATAGCCAAAAATGTGTTTTTGGAGTGATTTTTATGTTTTGTTGTCTGATTATGCATCATGGCGTTCTTTTATGGTCCATATCAGGCTAGCGACTGAAACGTATTTTGAACAACTATTGTCTAACGCTTATAATGCCGGGTTGGTTCGTGTTAAATTATGTCTTGCTGGAGCGCAAGGCGTTGTTCTCTGACCGAACTACTTGATGGGGTAAAACGCCCCAGTAGGTCGCGGGGCAAAAAGCCCCATGGGGCGTTTTACCTCATGTGTTGTTCGGACTACCCACTTTCTAATGTTCGGTAGCTGTCAAACAGTAAGTTATCATGCATTTATATGTATTTTTCTCAGCAACTGGATGGCAAAGGAATTATTTTGTTACCATTTGCATTGCAATAATTTATTATTTGGCCTTATGAGGCAGATGAAAAAGCTGCTCATACAATAGCGTCATAGCTGAACACCTGATAAGATGGAATGTGGTAACTTCAGTGCCGTGCCTCCAGAGGTGTAAAGGACCTCTCATATAAGATTTAGCCAACTACCATGTTTAATCTTTAATCTAGAGTATGGGGCTTCTTGCCCCAGGCCGTGGGGCGTTTTGCCCTGGGGTTGGGGCAAAATGCCCCATTTGCAGTTGCTTCACAAATCGCTCCCTAGCTGGGAGTCCGATCATAGGTGAAGTAATTTGAGGGGTGGAATTTAAAGTAAAATGTCCAAAGAACGCATTGAGCACAAATTTAGCCCTCCAGGTCATGTGGGACAAAAGTTATGTAGCAAAATAAATTATCTGGGGCGTCTTGCCCCAGGCTACCCTACAAAGTTATTGTGCATCCTCTTTTGACACGTTTTTGCTATAATAGGCGGATCCAGGCGTCCAAAAAGGGGGGTTATTTTTTACCTCCCAACATAGGTGCCCTGACACCGCCTATGCATGACCAATACAATTTTAGTCGTTCTCTCATAAGAAAATTGTAACATAACAAGACCATTGCCACCCTTTTTAGAAACAGTACCAACAAAAACCTTATTTACTATACTTTTTGTGTACCCCCAATCTCAATGATCTGTATCCGCCTATGATTTTTGAAAATGCATATTTTTAGGATCCATGTGAATTCCTGGTTCATTCTCTATCGATCGGCAAAAGTTGCGTTAAGATTGGTTCAGAAACCTGGCCGTGATAAACAGTCTAAAATGTATCTGCAATTTGTCCGTTTTTACCCCCCTCTACCCCCCTATTGACATTTTTCAATTCTATTTTTTTAGAAATGTAGATCTCGTTGAGCGAAATCGAATGCCGTTTGAATTTTGAAAATCGGTTAGAACTCGAGATATCAAGGGGGGTCGTAAACAGCCCCCCCTGCCACTAACAGGGGGTAGCCAGGAGCCTGCCACTAATAGGGTTAACAAGCTTTAAGAGATGTTGACCGACTACCGGAAGGCATTCCCGACCGGCCCTAAGCGGTACACCATCCAGATTCCCTCCCGACGGACCGACGGACCAGACGGACCATCCAATTCCAGACCGACGGACCATCCAGACCGACGGACCGACACGAGACGGACCATCCAGACCAGACGGACCGACGGACCGACGGACCATCCAGACCGACGGACAGACGGACCATCTAGACCGACACGAGACGGACCATCCAGACCGACGGACCAGACGGACCATCCAGACCGACGGACCGACGGACCAGACGGACCATCCAACTCCAGACCGACGAACCATCCAGACCGACGGACCGACACGGGACGGACCATCCAGACCGACGGACCATCCAGACCAGACGGACCATCCAGACCGACGGACCATCCAGACCGACGGACGGACACGATACGGACCGACGGACCGACGGACCGACGGACCGACGGACCGACGGACCGACGGCCGCCGACGCGCTGAGACGCGCACACAGCGAGACTGCTCCGGGAGCGAAACCGGCAGTCACACTACCGCCCAGTGTGACTGACGGACTGTATGTTTGACTGACGGACAGAGTGTGTGACTGACTGACTGACGGACTGACTGACGGACTGACTGACGGACTGACTGACGGACTGACTGACTGACTGACTGACTGAAGGACTGAGTGCGTGACGGACTGACGGACTGAATGTGTGACTGACGGACTGAATGTGACTGACTGACTGACTGACTGATGGACTGAGTGTGTGAATGACGCTGGCGGTAGGACGGAGTGGGGCAGCCGCCGGTCCGGAGGGGCGTCTCGCCGTCGGCCGTGTTTATACAGGCGAGCCGGCCGACTGGAGTCGGTCAGTCCGTGTCGAGCGGCTCCAGTGTGCGGCTCTCCTCGTCCCTGTGGTCCCTCCTCATCCGTACCCCCTCCCGCCGGCCCCAGCTCAGCGGTCGCAGCAGCTGTTGCCCAGCCTGCCGGCCCCAGACCCCAATCACCCCAATCGACACTGGGCTGCAACACCTGAGCGGGGCGACGGCTCCATAGACCACCGTCCCAGCCGACAGCCAGACACCGGCACCGGCCGCACGACGGCGCCGACCCCGCCCGACCAGCCACTGGTCGTCACCGACCGCCGACACTGCGACCACGTGCTGCACCCAGTGGTGCCCGTATACTGTACCCAGTGGTACCCGTGCTGCACCCAGTGCTGCCCGTACTGTACCCAGTGGTGCCACGTGCTGCAGACTGGTCGACGACAACAGCTGACCGCTGGCGTGCTGCTTCCTTCCGCTTCGGACGGTCACCAGGTGAGCTCTCTCCCACACAGGTACACACACACACATACTGACAAGCGCCTCTTAGCGAGGACTCCGAAAAATTCCGACGAAGTGGGGACAAGATTTCCGACGATTAAGGAGCATCGTAGAAGGAAGGGGACAAGTGGATGAAGATTAGGAACGCAAGTAGATTACGATTGCAAAACAATTTAAGAATCTAGGTCTAGCGGATTCGGATCAGCATATTCAGGCGAAGTGGAGACATCGAGGTGTGACGTCACACTGGCGTATCATTTCGCACGCCAAAGTGGGGACACGTCCTCAGAATGTTGTGGTTTTCGGAAGGGTGTTAACCCACGAGCCGCTGAGGGGGGGGGGGCATAAAGTTGCCCCCCCCCCTTTACGTTTTGTAAAATATCTCCGAAACCTGATGAGCTACGAACGTGAAACTTGGCATAGCTTCAAATGAATACCTAGGCAATGTTTGAGGAAAGTTTGGTGGTTGTAGTACCTAAGATGACGTCACAGTGACGTCATAAAGTTTTGTCGTTTTCCGATATGGACCGTTTCTGATGACGCTGAGCATGAAACTCAACTGTAAATGAACTAGACAGCACCTGCTGTCATCCTAAAACATCTAACTACACTTCCATCTAGTTTCTGACCAATAATCGACCCTTTATATTCGGTTCGGTCCCATATATCTGATGTATCGTGAGGAATATGAGAGTCGCAAATCTATGATTTCACTTATGACGTCACTGTGACGTCATTTCAAATGGGATTGACACCAAATTTGGACACAACCTCGGCTAGGTATTCAGGAAGATGTGTGCAAAGTTTCGTTTCTCTATCTCTTCGCGTTGCGACGATATCGTCGCAGAAGTAAAGGGGGGCAACTACCAGGTGATCATTTGGGAATGAGATAAAGTAAGTGGCACGTGCAGATGTGTATTCAATAGGACACCAGACAAAAGACACGTCATTAGACTCGTCATCGTGGGACATTTTGTACTGCACACTATTATACACCTGCAAGCCACTGTTCATCTACAGCAGGTGCTCAAAGTGGCCACCCCCTTCTGAGCGGCACAGCTCAGCCCGACGGCGTGTGTGACGCGCCATCTTTCGCAGCTGCTCTTCGTCCATGTTGCGGGCGAAGTCCTCAACCAGTTCCTTCAGCTGTTCCAGCGTTTGGGGCTCGCTGCGCACGATCTGAGCCGTCACCGATGACCAGAAACAAAAGTCCAGACAAGACAGGTCGGGACTGTATGGCGGCCATCGGTGTTCACTATTCCGGGAAATGACGCGGCCGCCGAAATTCGAGTGGAGGAAGTCCATCACGGGAGCAGTGACGTGCGGCGGCGCGCCGTCCTGCTGGAACCAGTACTGGTGGCGCGTCGCCCGAGCCCTCACCGCAGGCCACACCACCGTCTGCAGCATCTCCAGGTAGGCGTCGCTGTTGACGTAGCCAGTGAACCAGTGAACTGGCTGGCACTTCCCATCCACCACGCCCACCCACGCCATCGCCTTCTGCCCCATGGGCCTTCTTGCATGGCACGAGCTTGTTCGGATTCTCTGGCGACCAGCACACGGTGTTCTTCTTGTTTGGAGACGGATGCAGAACAAACCACTTTTCGTCACTCCAGAGTACACGCTCAAACCACTCCTCATCATGGGTTAGCCAGAATTCACAGGAGTCCATCCTGGCCATCCGCGTCATCTCCCGGAACAGTGAACACCGATGGCCGCCGTACAGTCCCGACCTGTCTTGTCTGGGCTTTTGTTTCTGGTCATTGGTGACGGCTCAGATCGTGCGCAGCGAGCCCCAAACGCTGGAACAGCTGAAGGAACTGGTTGAGGACTTCGCCCGCAACATGGACGAAGAGCAGCTGCGAAAAATGGCGCGTCACACACGCCGTCGGCTGAGCTGTGCCGCTCAGAAGGGGGTGGCCACTTTGAGCACCTGCTGGCTGCTGTAGATGAACAGTGGCTTGCAGGTGTATAATAGTGTGCAGTACAAAATGTCCCACGATGACGAGTCTAATGACGTGTCTTTTGTCTGGTGTGCTATTGAATACACATCTGCACGTGCCACTTACTTTATCTCATTCCCAAATGATCACCCGGTATATGCCCCCCCCCCCCCCCCCAGCGGCCGGCGGGTGGCGCGGAGGCCCAGCGGCCGCCGGGTTAAGGTATGTGAGCTTCCCTTGTCATAAAAACGATTTACCATAGCTAGGAGCGGCGGAAGATCGTGCATAGCGCGTACACACATCTACAGGGTGTCCCAAAAATAATGTCACACCTTTCCAGCGTCAATTTCATGAAAATAACACAAATGAGAGGCGCACTTTTCTTACATATGCATCCCACCTTTCCCCTGATGCGGGAAAGCATACGGTCCGGGACATCAGACATCAACATGTCCAGTTTCTGTGGACTGATCTTGGATCAGAAGATCGAACGTTCCAGGTCAGCGTGCGTTCAGATTATCCTGGCGCCGTTTTGCTCACCTCTGAGGTACAGGACGATCGCCCAAAGATTTTCTATCGGTGACAGGTCGGGGCTATTCACCGGCCATTTGTCCTTCTCCCAGAATGCTGGGAAGTTCGATCTGTTCCAGTCCTTCGTCGTTCTAGCTCGATGAGCCGGGGCGCCGACTTGTTGAAAAATGGCCCTGGGCATGTTCAGCAGAAGTTTTCGGCCGAAACGTACACGTGGCTTGTTGGGCTTCAGCTTTAGAGACATCCTCCGGTACCGATGGATTATCAATTTGAAGACCGGATGACTGTTGGCAATCAGCCTCCTTGCCAGTTTCCTTGTGGATAAGCCCGTCTTTAGCTCCGCACTTCGCGATGACGATCTGCGCTATACCCGGCTGGCGGAAGTCTTCCTGCCGCGACCTAGCTTGTTCCCAGGCGTCTATCCGCTTCTGTCGCGTGATAACCAGCGCCAAATCGTGCGACAACTCATGCCCAGTACCTACCTCGGCGACCTGGCCGTGGGTCATGCCACCGGCAACCATGCCGACTGCCCCGCTGCGGGACGATTTGCTCCGCAGTTTCGCCATCCTGGACACCTGGTCCGCGCGCGCCGGTTACTGCCCCGGAAATGACCTCCGTACACCCCTTGACCGGTCAGGGTCACACAAATTCGAAGGCCACGTGACTAGAATGTAGCCAATATGGTCTGGGAGCCAGTACCGGTGAAATCATATTGATATTGCGCAGTAGAAGGCAAAACAAAGGTTGTGGGAGGGTGTGACGCACCCCGCTGGGCTTTTCAGCCATACGCGGCACGCGCCCTGCTGGGGGGGGGGGGGGGGGCAGATTCTGCCCCCTGTCTAACTTCCGAACCGATGGTCGTAGAAAGACGGGGAAAACGGCAATCGAAAGCTCTCAACAAGGCGGATCTTAAGAGCCAATTTTTTTTTTGCTTAAATAGGTCAGAGGTCAGGTCAAGGTCAGGTCAAGGGTACAGCATGCAAGTTTCTACAGTATCGGCCTTGCACCGTAGTTGCCGAAGAATGGACTGAGACTGATTGCCCAAAACGTGTTCTTAGACTACCAAGACAATATTCGTTGCATGCAATGTCATTCAAAGGTGAAGTTCAAGGTCAGGTCAGGTTAGGTCAGGTCACCAAAAACAAAATATAGAAAAGGGCATGTGCGACACATGTTTTATGGGTCATTTTACGCATAGAATTCAATAGGCACACTCAATAAGTGATATGGACCACCTCTGGATGAATTTGAGGTCGAGGTCAGGTCAAGGTCAGGTCAAGTGAGGTCAAAAGTTGGTTGTTAAGGCCTAAAAAGGTGTCAATCTGATGCAGTTTTTCACGGCGAATCGAATAGTGCTATTTTCGTTTCCGTACGAGGTCTAAAACTTCCAAAAAAATCCATTTTTCAAAATTTTTGTGTGTCATGACGTCATAAAATTTTGAATAACTCCCACATTTTTGAACCGATTATTCTAAAAATTGGTATGTGGGTGCACATAGACCACTTCTCTGACATATATTCCGGTTTTTCGATACACTCAAAATTTTGGATTTTATAATTATTTTTCCAAAAAAGTCAGTTTTTTGAAAAAAATTTGGGCCAAAATCCAAAATTTTCAAAAAACCGAGATAGCCATTTGATAGACGAAGTAGAATCACGTATAACCTTTTTTGTTACGTCTTGATTCCTTTAAAAATGAAGATGTTAGCGGCGTTTGAAATTTTGCCGTTTTTTAGGCGAAAATGGCGAACATGACGTCACTAAAACGTCAATTTCTCAAAAATTTTCCGACGGATTTCGCTTAAATTTTCAGGGAACGTGTCAAATTGATGTATAATAAGGTACTGAAAGTTTGACGTCGCTGGCGTAACGCGTTTAGAAGTTATTGGCGAAAAACGGGAGGGGGCAGATTCTGCCCCCCCCCCCCCCAGCGGGGCGCGGGTTAATTTTGGGACACCCTGTAAAGTTGCAGCCTAGTTTAAGGACAGGGAGGCAGACTGGTGTTCGATTCCCTGTGATTGATTCGATTGGATTGAATCAACCAAAATTTTTTGAATCACAAAGGTTTGATTCACCGTCAGGATTGTTCAATTCACAAGCCATGGTTGAGTCATGGTTGAGTCAAAGAAATTGGGAATCAGGGTTGATTAGATAAAAAAGTAGGGGAGACTGGGGAGAAGTGGGGCATTATTTTGACGTCAACTTTGAAAAATCGTGAAAAAATAGAATATTTAATATTTAAATAAATTGATTGCATTTACTGGTAAACGGTTTATTTCTACTTCATTCTTTACTGTTTTTATGCGTGTTTGTTCACGTGTTAGGTACTTCTAAAATTTAAATTTTAGGTAAGGTTGACAATGGGGTGAACTGGGACACGTCCAGGAGAAGTGGGACAGATGATGGGGAGAACTGGGACTGGTCGAGAAATGTGATTTAAATGGAATACAATTAACATTTGATGACCCATCACGGCCATGTGTTTTTTTAATTGACACTTAAAGAAATCACCTCGATTATCCT